GAGGAAGCATATGGTATTTCTGGCCCTAGGTCTAACAAAGACAGGCTGAATTTATTTGTGAGCCATCTATGAAGAAATAGTTTGGTAAGAAGTTAGCAATACAAATGTGTACATGGCATCTCAAATCTGAGTGCACACACATGAGTGTGATTTTGTTTTATTTATTTATTTATATATATTTTATGAGACAGAGTCTCACTCTATTGCCCAGGCTGGAGTGCAGTCCTGTGATCTTGGCTCACTACAACCTCTGCCTCCTGGGTTCAAAAGATTCTCTTGCCTTAGCCTCCCAAGTAGCTGGGACTATTGGCACAGGCCACCACATCTGGCTAATTTTTTATTGTATTTTTGTAGAGATGGGGTTTCACCACGTTGGCCTGGATGGTCTCGAACTCCTGACCTCAGGTAATCCGCCTGCCTCAGCCTCCCAAAGTGCTGGGATTACAGGCGTGAGCCACTATGACTGCCACATGGGTGTGATTCTAACCTCTGCTCTAAAGCATTAACTGTCAGAACAGGACCTGTCTCTTTCTCCTTTACTTTTATAACTCAAGCATCTAGCACAATGCCTGCTATATAGCAAGGGCTCTATAAATGCCTCCCAAATGAACAGAGAAATGCTGAAGAGAATGAAATGTTCCAACTATTAAGAAGAACCCATTTCATTCTCACAATTTATATCCAGGTAATGGTTCTGACTAGCCCTCTGAAAGGGGTCTCATAAACCAATGCTTAATAATGCTTTCTTAGCAGCTTATTCTAAATGCTTGATAATACTTATATTAACTTTCTCCTAAACAAGACAAGCTCCTCTCTTTGAAGTCTAAGTGGGTGAGCTTTTACTACAGTCCTGTTTCTCTGAATGGACAAAGTCTTTTAACCTTTCCCTTGACTCAGATGCTATTAATCAGGGCAGTATACAGTGAGTCTGATACTAAGGGACCCAGTATGGACAACTGAGTCTTTGTTTTCTCCCCCACGTTGGGTTTGAATTGGTCCTGAGTTACTGTATTTATTCCTCATGATCCTTTAGGTTCATGATTTACATCTACATTATGTTAGACTTTAGGACTTGAGGATTAGAGACCCAAAAAGGCACATTGAAAACCATGGACACGGCTCTTTTGATTACCTCATCGTCCCAGGACACATTGCTGGCTGGCCTATGACACATTTATTATTATAAACGGTAATGTCTCAGTCACTTTCACAGAAAAGTAAACCAGACAGGGCTTTCAAATTCATAATCCTTTGTTTTTTAGCTGCAATGGAAATCTGGTGCTTGATTCAGGAAACTGGGAGATGATGGAAGGATTATATTTATTTCTGATAAACCGCCATTTGTTGCTTAGATACTAAAAAAGATAAAGATTGAATCTGTAGTTGCAAGACATAAAACATGCTTTTAAAGCAGCCAGGAAGAATGAATGTTCAGGCCAGGTGCGGTGGCTCACGCCTATAATCCCAGGACTTTGGTAGGCCGAGGCAGGTGAATCACCTGTCAAAGGTTCGAGACCAGCCTGGCCAACATGGCGAAACCCTATCTCTACTGAAAATAGAAAAATTAGCTTGGCATGGTGGCGCATGCCTGTAATCCCAGCTAATCGGGACACTGAAGCAGGACAATTGCTTGCACCCAGGAGGCAGAAGTTGCACTGAGCCAAGAAGTTGCAGTGAGCCGACATCACGCCACTGCACTCCAGCCTGGGCGACAGAGTGAGACTCCATCTCAACAACAACAACAACAACAACAACAACAACAACAACAGAATGAATGTTCAAATATAATGCTCTTGAAATATTTCTGTAGGAGCTGGACATTGGAGAGACAAAGAATACAGTCTTCCTTGCCCAAGGGGGTCACTATTTCCAAGGAGGCTGAAATATGTACAATCAATTTTGATATTCTAGGATAACTGTTTAAGTTTGATCTATAAAGCCAGTTTAACAAAAGCATATAATAGGAAGCAATAAATACGCTTGAGGATGGGAAGGAAAGTTTCAGAGAGGAAGGAACAGCTGGACTCCACCTTGAAAAACTCAGATTTTCACCAGGAAAAATTTGGAGGAAAACATTTTAGATAAAGAAAATTATGTGAGTTAAAGTGCAGAAGAATGAAAAGTACAAGGTTTGTTCAGTCATGCATATGAGGTCCAATATGTCTGGCATAGAGGGTATTGGGTGTGGAGATAGAATATGAGATTTAAGAAATTGATTAAAGCCAGATCACATAGAATTTTAAGTGTGCCAAGAAGTGTGGAATTTATCTTATAGAAATGGAAAACCATCAGCCTTTTCAAAATATAATTGCAAGAAAAGACGGATGTTTTAGAAAGGTGATTGGTTGTATGGAACACAGATAGGAAAAGACAAGACTGAAGACAGGGAGATGGGGTTGTTTCCAAATTTTAAGGGTAAGATAACCTAATAAACAAAACAAAACTATGTAATACATGAAAAGAGGTAATTCCTTTTGTTTCTGCTCCACACATTGTGAAGGCGACACCTTAAAATGTCTTTATGAGGCCGGGCGCAGTGGTGCACGCCTGTAATCGCACTGTTTTGGTCATATTGAAACAGTATGAATAATATAAGGTATGTAAGATGGAAAGGAAAAAGTTAAATTATTATTATTATTATTTTTTGCAGAACACATGATCTTGTTTTCTTGTTTTTTTATTTTTATTTTAATTTTTTTATTTTGACACAGGATGGGGTGCAATGGTAAAATCACAGCTCACTGCTTCCTTGGCCTTCTGGGCTCAAGCGATCCTCCCACCTCAGCCTCCTGAAGACATAATCTTATATATAGAAAACCCTAATACTACGTGTGCCACCCCCCCCCGCCCACACACAGCCTACATAACTAATAAATTCAGCAAAGTGACAGGATAGAATATCAACACATGAAAATCCACTGCATTTTTATACAGTAGCAATGAACAACTTGAAAAAAATTTAAAAAGCATTGTCATTTACGATAACATCAAAAAGAATAAAATATTTAGAAATAAACTTAATTAAAGAAGCAAGACTTATATACTGAAAACTGCAAAATACTGCTGAAAAAAATTAATGAAGACATAAATAAATGGAAAGATACCCTATGTTCATTGACTGGAAGATTTCATATAGTTAAAATGACATTACCCAAGTCAATCTAAAGATTCAATGCAATTCCTATCAAAATCCCAATGATATATTTTTCAAAAATAGAAAAGCTCAAACTAAGATTAATGTGGAATCTCAAGGAACCTTTAAATATATATAAAAAAAAAACCTTAAAAAACAAGAACAAAATTGGAGGTGTCATACTTCCTAATTTCAAAACGTACTATAAAGTTATGGTAATCAAAACAGCATGGTACTAGCAAAATGACAGAGATAGTCCAAAGGAACAAAATAGCCCAGAAATACATCATCACATATGTGATCAATTAATTTTCAAAAAGTATGCCATGACCATAAAATGAGGAAAGGATAGTCTTTTCAACAAACGGTTCTGGGAAAACTGGATATCCACATGCAAATGAATGAAGTTGCACCCATACATCTCATCATATACAAATATTAACTCAAAACAGGTCAAAAACCTAAACCTAAAGGCTAAAACTATGAAACCCTTAGAAAAAAACAGAGGGCAACATCTTCATGATATTAGATTTGGCTATGATTTTTTGGATATGACACCAAAAGTACAGGCAACAAAAAAACAAATAGACACACTAGATTTCAAAATTTAAAAGTGTGTGCATCAAGGACACTATCAAGAGAGCTAAAAGGTAACCCACAGAGTTGGAGGAAATATTTACAAATCATATATCTGATAAGGGATTAATATCCAAAAAATAGAAAGAACCCCTGCAACCTAACAATAGCAGCAAAACAACATAACTGAAGACCAGGCAAAAGACTTCGACATTTCTACCAAGATGATACGCAAATGGCCAATGAACATACAAAAGATGCTTGAGGGAAATGCAAATCAAAATCATGATGAGATACCATTTCACACCATTAGGATAATTATTATCAAAAAATTATAATAACAAGTGTTGATGAGAAAGTAAAGAATTTGGAACCTTTGTAAATTGTTGGCAAGAAGGTAAAACGATACATCTACTGTGAAAAAAAAATATGGCGGTTCCTCAAAAAGGTAAATACAGAATTACTATATGATCCAGAAATTCTACTCCTAGGTATGTGCTGGGTATGTGCAAAAGAATTGAAAGCAGAGACTCTGAGATATTTGTACACCAGTGTTCATAGCAACATTGTTCATAATGGCTAAAAGCTGGAAGCAACCTAAGTGTCCATTAACAGATGAATGTACGAACAAAATGTGGTATACACATAAAGTGGAATATTATTTATCCATAAAAAGGGATGATGTTCTGATACATGCTGCAGCATGGATGAACCTTGAAGGAATTATGCTAGGTGAAATAAAGCAGACACACAAAGACAAATATTGTATAATTCCACTTATATGAGCTACTGAGAGTAGTCAAATTCACAGGGACAGAAAGTAGAACAGTGGCTGCCAGGGGCAGGGTGTGTGTGGAGGTGGGTGAGGCAGGGGTGAAGGGAGAGTTATTGTTTAATCAGAACAGACTTTCTGTTTGAAATGATGAAAAACTTCTGGAAATAAATTATGATGCTGGTTGCACAGCAATGTGAATGTACCTAATGATCAATATCATTAACAGTATCAGTATCACCAAACACTTTAAAATAGCTGATATGGTAAATGTCATGTTACATATACTTTACTGCAATAAAAAATAAATAAAAAACAAACCCCCAGCATGATAACACTATGTGGACTGTAGCTGAGTCTCTGTCAGGTAGAGAAAATAAGCAATCTATATGAACAGACACTTCTTTGCAGACCCAGGTGCGAGTTGGAAGTTGCGAAAAGAAATCCAAAGTCTAAAATGGTGAAGACTGTCCCTTATCAGTATAGGTGATCAAGATGTCAAAGACATGGTAAACTCACATTGCAGTTTGATGAGCCATCAAATGTTGGGTAAGAACCATCTGGCCAGTCGGCAGGGTCCAGGGCAGCCGACTGCCGGTGCTGGGCCTCGTATTCCTTGAGCTGCAACAAGAAGAAATGGATACTGAAATGGAAAGAATGGCCAGACACTGGCCAGACCTTTCACAAGGAAATGACTCAAATAATACATCTAGGTTCCTGGTTCACAATCTTGTACTCAAGCAGCAGAGAGATGACTTTGGGTACCTTCTTCATGACAGTGTTGGTAACTAAGTGCCAGCCAAAGACACCTTTCCCAAAACCAAGAAGAAGATAACCACCCTGCCCTATGAGTTTTCATCTAAGTCAAATCAACAGGCAAAATGGACTCTTTGTATCCTGTGTTCCAGAAAGAATTTTCACTTTCCCCCTCCAACATCAACACTTATGTTTCCTCAGCTTGATTATAAGGAAATTGTCTGTAGTTTGGCCTCTGAATTACCTTCCCAAGTATGTAAGTCAAAACCATGCACGTCCTTTTTAGGAAGAGAAAATGATAGACTACAGACATTTTAGTGAAATGGGGTCAAACTCTGAAACATTTTATATATATTTGTTGTTGTTGTTGAGACAGGGTTTCACTCTGTTACCCAGGCTACAGTGCAGTGGTGCAATCATGGCTCACTGCAGACTTGACCTCCCAGGCTCAAACAATCCCACCTCAGCATCCCAGGTAGCTGGGACTACAGGCGTGCACCATCATGCCCACCTAGTATTTTTCTTTCTTTTTTTTTTTTTTTTTTTTTTCCCAGGTAGCTGGGACTACAGGCGTGCACCATCATGCCCACCTAGTATTTTTCTTTTTTTTTTTTTTTTTTTTTTTTGTAGAGATGGGGTTTTGCCATGTTGCCCAGGCTGGTCTCAGAATCTTGAGCTCAAGTGTTCCACCCCTTCAGCCTCCCAAAATGATGGGGTTACAGGTATGAGCCACTACACCCGACCCTGAAACAGTTTTAAAAATCACATGTTTGTCTTGTTCAAAATGGCTTCAAGTTGCTAGTCCAATGTTATAACCTAACAAACATTATGGGGTTATTGGAGACCTTTGAGGATGGTCTCTCTCTATTGAGATCTTAGAGATACTGAAAGTTTAGGTTCAGAAACAAGGTTTCTAGTTTTTGAAAAACACAGAAAGACAATTGAAATCCTATAGCAGGCCAGGCGCAGTAGCTCACACCTGTAATCCCAGAACTTTGGGGAGGCCAAGGCGGGTTGGTTAACCTGAGGTCAGGAGTTCGAGACCAGCCTGGCCAAGATGGTGAAACCCTGTCTCTACTAAAAATACAAAAATTAGCTGGGTGTGGCGGCGCACACCCAGTACTGAGTACTGAGTAATCTCAGCTACTCAGGAGGCTGAGGCAGGAGAATCGCTTGAACCTGAGGAGCAGAGGTTGCTGTGAGCTGAGATCATGCCACTGCACTCCAACCTGGGTGACAAGAGCGAAATTCTATCTCAAAAAAAAAAAAAGGAGGAAGGAAAGAAGGAAGGCAGGAAGGCAGGCAGGCAAGCTATAGCAAAGTGAGCAGATTTACTTTAAAAAAATTTTTATAACTTCTTTTACCATATTTCCCAAATAAGTGAGCAAATTTAACTTAGCAATATGAGATCTTTCAGAATGGCATAGTGAGAGTCCAGGTGTCACACAGAAATTGAGCTCTGGGATTCAAAACAATTGTCACTGCATTCAAATCCTATTACAAAGCAGTGTGCACATATGAATTTAAGACAGTGATCAAATCATGTTCCATGAGCTAAGCAACTTAAAAACAGAAATAATTGAACCTGACAGCCCATGTGAGGGTGACTGGACAATCCCGAAGCCCTGGAGCTTGAGGATGTGGTAGCGCCACTACAATGACCATTATTCCTCTAGGAAAAAGCCACTTTCACAACTGTGACTTCAACCTATGAAATTCTTTTCTGCATATATGTGGGAGGAGGTAGGCAGTACTGATTATTGAGTAAGAGCTTGAATGCAGAACCAAATACCAGCTGGGAGCCCTGGGGACAAATTATTTAACCCCTCTATGTTTCGGTTCCTCCACCTGGAAAACAGGCATGACAATAAATCTGTCTTACAGAGCTGTTACCAGAACTAACTAAGATAATGCAGCAAAACTCTCAGCACACCATATCAAAGAAATAGGGTTATTATAATACTATTATTATTACCACTGTGCTTTCAGAGAAAAGAAAGCTCAAAGTTCACATTAACTTGACATGTTCAAACTTTTGGGTATTAGGGGTATTAATCATTGTAATCTTTCTGTTACATTAGGGACACTTAGATTGTTCCAGTCTTTATATTATGTTATCCACTAGGATGTTCTCTCCATTTTGATATATTGGCTTGTGAAATGCTACATTCTCCCTGTATGATTGAGAGTATCTGCCCGTTGGAAAATGGGATTATCATGAGATTATCAGGTCTCCAGTTCTCTAGTCCATGTTTATACCCAACCTTAGCTGCATCTCCTAGGAGCCACTAAATAACTTTCAGCTTTAAGGAAAACAGGTACAAATTTCTTCTTTTTTTTTTTTTTGAGACGGAGTCTCGCTCTGTCCCCCAGGCTAGAGTGCTGTGGCGCTATCCCTGCTCACTCTAAGCTCTGCCTCCTGGGTTCACGCCATTCTCCTGCCTCAGCCTCCTGAGTAGCTGGGACTACAGGCGCCCACCACCGCGCCTGGCTAATTTTTTGTATTTTTAGTAGAGACAGGGTTTCACCGTGGTCTCGATCTCCTGACCTTGTGATCCGCCCGCCTCGGCCACCCAAAGTGTTGGGATTACAGGCGTGAGCCACCGCGCCCGGCCCAAATTTCTAACTAGTCAATCACATATGATGATTTTTTTTTTTCCTGCTGTATGCTCATCTCTGCTATCTACTTTGGGGCCTAAAAGTATGTGTGCTGTTCTGATACAGATTTTAATTCTATGCCCTATCCAAACTTTGCTACTCAACTGGCTTTTTGGTTTGTTTTCTGTAACAGGCTTTTGCTCTGTTGCCCAGGCTGGAGTGCAGTAGGGCAATCACGGCTCATTGCAACCTTGATCTCCCTGATTCGAGCAATCCTCCCATCTCAGCTTCCCGAGTAGCTGGGACTACAGGGGCATGGCACCACATCCAGCTAATTATTTTGTATCTTTTTGTAGAGATGAGGTTTCATCATGATGCCCAGGCTGGTGTCGAACTCCTGGGCTCAAGTGATCTGCCTGCCTTCGCCTCTCAAAGTGCTGAGATTAGAGGCGTGAGCCACTGCACCTGCAAACTGTTTTTTTAATTATCCTAATTACACAATTCTAAGTGTTTTAAAGTTACAAAACAAGATCTCTTTTTTTTTTAAGTGCACTGCACAGGAAAAAAAAAATCATGTAATTACACAGGTTATTACATTGATAATTACCTGTTATAATTACATTTTTATATTCCACTTTGGTTCAAGAAGTTTTGGTTTAATTATAATTTCATGAAGGCATGACCATTTGTAATTTCATTAAAGAATGCATACCTTTTAAAGCAAATCTGTAGCGTTTTACATTAATTCCAGGAGTTATAAAATAATGACATTTTAAGGTATGTGTATGTGTGTGTGTCTTAAGCAAAAACATTCCCTCACATCCTGTGATCCCAAATCTCACTGTTTTCTCACAGCTGAAGTCCATGACATGATTTTTTAGAATGATGGCCATCTTTAAAAGAGTAATGTTCATTCCATCTTGGAGACCTTTAAGGAGAGATATATCATAATGTTCCAATTTCTACCAGTACTTACTATAAAGAGCATTTATGTTATATTAAACCGAAATCCACTCCAGCTGCTTTTTAAATTCATTTCTTTCTAATCTGTCCTCAGTAGAGATTTTAAAAACAAACAAACAATCAAACATTCTCCAGGACATCCGAAAGATGTACTCTTTAACAACCCTCAGACATTCGAAGACTGTGATTAAGTTCTTTTCTGCTTCTTTTGAGATAAATCCCTTCCAACTTCTCCCCATGGGATCAATTTTTTAAAAACCTCCTATGGACTCTATATGTGTCCAAATCTCTGTGATTTGATGCACAATAGCTTTTACAAGGAAATGACTCAATAATACATCTAGGTTCCTAGTTCATAATCTTGTGCTCTGGTATACCAGATGCCCAGATTACCTTAATGACTTTATAAGAATGTCCGGTAGGTATAAATTCACACACCCTGCTCTAGAGAACATGACTAAGAGAAGCTGTCTCCACAAAGATATCTAGATGGCTGCTCCCCAACCGCAATCAGCTTTCAGACATCTTATCACTGGCATGACTAACTCTACAATGCCAGTCACCCTCCAGGGCTCCCCACTCCATTTGGAATCAGGCTGAGTGAGGCTAGACTCCTCCTGAAATCACATCTCTGTCCAACTTCATCCTTCTCCCTCACTTAGAGGTTTCTCTTTAAAGCCTTCTTTCAATAAGCCACTTGCACAATGCTATATATAGTTTGGATGTCTCTTTCCCCAAACCTCATACTGAAATTGAATTCCAATACTGGGGAAGGGGGCCTAAAGAGAGATGTTTGGGGCCATGAGGGAGGATCCCTTAAGAATAGTTTCATACCCTGTGGAGGGGTGGAGAAGGTGATTTCTCACTCTATTTGTTCCCCAAAGAGCAGTTGTTATAAAAGAGCCAGGCACCTCCCTTCTCCCTCTTGTTTCTTCTTACCAAGTGATCTCTGCACACACTGCCTTCCACCGTAAGTGGAAGCAGCCTGAGGTTTTCACTAGATGACTACTCTCCCAGCAGGTAGAATCATGAGCCAAATAAACCCCTTTTCTTTGTAAGTTACCCAGTCTCAGGTATTCCTTTATAGCAACACTAAATAGACTAAGATACACAAGAGTCCCTGTCTCAGGCTGTGCTTCCGGGGAATCAGATGTATGACACCCGGAATGAAGAAAAGTTTGGACTAGGCACGGTGGCTCACGCCTGTAATCCCACCACTTTGGGAGGCCAAGGCAGGTGGATCATTTGAGGTCGGGAGTTCGAGACTAGCCTGGCCAACATGGTGAAACCCCGTCTCTACGAAA